AGTGGTAGAGCGCTTGCCTTGCATGCATGAGGCCCTGGGTTTGATTCCTCAGCACCACATAAGCAAAAAGAAAAAAGCCGGAAGTGGCGATGTGGCTCAAGTGGTAGTGCGCTAACCTTGAGCTGAAGAGCTGTGGGATAGCGCCCAGGCCCAGAGTTCAGGCCCCATGACCGGACCCCACCAAAAAAAAAACATAAATTAGAGATCTAGGTTTAGTTATTACAAGTATTTAACCAATTTTTCCAGCACCATTTACTGAAGAGGATGTCTTTCTTCCATTCTAGATGCTGGAGGGGATGTGAACAGAAGGGAACCTTACTGCATTGTTGGTGGGAATGTAAACTTGTTCAACCACTTTGTTAAGCAGTATGGAGGTTCCTCAAAAGACTGCACATAGAGCTCCCCTATCACCCAGCAATCCCACTTTTGGGCATTTACCCAAATGTTCACAAACAAGACCACACTAAAGCCAGAGCACCAGTGTGTTTATTGCAGCATTATTTACTATAGCTAAGATATGGAACCTACCCAGATGCCCCTCAGTAGATGAATGGATCAAGAAAATGTGGTATATATACACAATGGCCTTCTATGCCTCCATCAGAAAAAATGACATTGCCACATTTGTTAGGAAATGGAAAGGCTTGGAAAAAATTATATTAAGTGAAGTAAGCCAGACCCAACCTAACATAGGTCCCATGGTTTCCCTTATTTTCAATATCTAGTATATGTCTGAGTCAAGCCGAAAATGTTGCTGTTAGGGAAATGAACCCTAAGATATATATGCAAATGTTTTTTTTTCTTTCATGCGATTGTTTCTAACACATTTATAAGAGTATTTCTTTGTTTCTTTGTATATCCCTCCCCCACAGTATAACCCCTGCTTTCATTTTAGTTCATGTCAGTATAATTTGTGTATGGGAAGGGGAAAAACAAATTAAATAAATAGGTGGACCCATTGCAACAATGAGATGTACAAGTCTTTTTGTCGAAAACGAACATTACAACTTTGGTGGAGAGGGGGGAAGGATTGGTTAGGGGTTGCTGGAGGAGGATGGGAGGGGATGTGAAGGGGAAACAAAGGAAGAGGCTACAATGCTCGATAAGAAATGAACTCATTATCTTGCCCATGTAATTGCAACCCCACTGTACAGTATTTTCACAATAAAAAATAATAAAAAAAAGAAACTGGTATTGTCTAGACACACACTGATATCTTGCAGTGCTCATGTCTTCTAGTTTCATGTGAACACTGCCTTCTCTCTATGTCTCCTGCAGCTAGAGACTTCTTGGCTTAATTCTAGTTGGGCTCACTTCTTAGAAAATGAGTCCACATTCTGTACTCTAGGTTAGGTTGCATTCCAAGGAACCAAGAGGCAGAGCAGCAGCTGCCACTCAGCCTGGCCAACCTCCATGGGTGGGTGGGGCCAAGGCAGTCACAAGGTTTTCTCCCTTAACCTCCTGCAGAGGAAGCCCAAGGGCAACTGTAAAACCTGGACTTTCGAATTCTAATATAGATATTTGGAATGATTCTGTTGAATTCCAGGAAGTATTTCCAAAGAACAGACAATCAATAATCTCCTTCCAGTCACTAGCAATATAGTATAGTTTCACAATCACCTGTGCTTCAGCCCCTGGACTTGGAAAGAATGATTCCTAGTTCTTCAAAGTCTTTGAATGGAATCTTGGAAAATTGAGTTTAAAATCCTTCAGGGAGAGGGTAAAAGTTATCTCTTAAGGAAAGGAGATTATTTTCAACAACAATGATTAAACAACCATCTTTTCTTTCCTTTTTTTGGGGGGTCCGGTCGTGGCGCCTGAACTCTGGGCCTGGGTGCTGTCCTTTAGCTCTTCAGCTCAAGGCTAGTGCTCTACCACTGGAGCTACAGTGCCACTTCCAGTTTTTTTTGTTCCTGCTTAGGTGGTGCTGAGGAATCAAACCCAGGGCCTTAGGCATGCAAGGCTAGCGCTCTACCACTGGAGCCATAGCGCCACTACCGGCTTTTTTCTTTTTGCTTATGTGGTGCTGAGGAATCAAACCCAGGGCCTCAGGCATGCAAGGCAAGAGCTCTATCACTGAGCCAACTTCCCAGCCCAAATAACCATTTTTTCATCGTTATGGGTATAGAAATTAATCAAATGAATCAAATATTTAAAGATAAAAGTAAAGATGATCAAAGAAGTTAACAAAAAAGCATAGGGTAAAATCTTTATGACTTAGAACTTGGCAATGATTTTCACATGTAGTAAAAGTAATTATAGGAAAATTTGATAAGCAAGATATTTTTATACTGAAATCATTTTTGCATTCAACGACTCTAGAATAGAAGGGAAAACCAATCCAGAGAAAACATTGGCAAAACATAGACGGAATGAGGAATTAAAACCAAGAAATTATGAAGAGCTCTTAAATAAACCTTACCACGACTAACACAATAACTGTATTGAATAGGGTCCAAAAGGAGACTTGAGGCCAAATAAGCGCATGAAGGTATGTTTCATATTATATGTATTGCTCATGTGAGAAAGACAAATCAGAATCACAATGAACACCAGCTCACAGGCATTAGGAGGAGCATTGAAAGGAAGGAGAAAGAGGAGAAAAATAGAGTGGAGAAAAGTCAGAAAGGAGAAAGAAAGGAAATGAGGGAAAGAGGAAGACAGCAAAGAAAAAAGGAAGGAAGGCAGAAACCAAAGAAGGAAGAAAGGAAGATGAGAAGGAAAGGAGAAAGGAAGGAAAAAATAGAAGATGTGATTAGAATTGGAGACCATTGTACTCTACTGGTGTTAATGAATATGGCACATATATTATGGAAATACAGGGAAAAAATCAAGCATACAATTACTTATCTAGCAATTCCAATTTTAAGTACATACACAAAAGTATCAAGAGCAAGGATGTGAATGGATATTTTGATAACCTGAATCAAGCAAAATGCTTCTGTGAAAGCTAAAGGTAACATAAACATGCAGTTCATTCATTCACCAACTCTAAAATGCATACAAATCAATTTTTTTTGTCCATATTGGGGTGTGAACTCTGTGCTTGGGCACTATTGGTTAACTCTACAGCTCAAGGCTATCACTCTACCACTTGAGCCACAGCACCACTTCCAGTTTTCTGGTAGTTTACAGGAGATAAGGGTCACCTGGTCTGTCCTGTTCAGGCTGATGATTAATTCTCTAGAAAAAACAAGGCATAAACAACCAGAATTGGTGAGTGCTCAGTAGTTTATCATGTCTATAATCTTCCCTACTCTGGAGTTTGAAGTCAATCCAGATGCCCTTGGTAGATGAAAGGATCAAGAAAATGTGATGTGTGTGTGTGTGTGTGTGTGTGTGTGTGTGTGTGTTTGTATGTATGTATAATTGAATCCTATGCTTCCAATATAAACAATGACATTGCCCCATTTGTTAGGAAATGGAAGAGTTGGAAAAAATTAAGTGAAGTAAGCAAGACTCAAAGAAACATAGGTCCCGGTTTCCTTTATTTGCAATAACTAGTATATGTCTAGGACAAGCAGAAAAGTTCAAAAGCTATGTACATATGACCATATAAGATGATGCTAAGTGAAATAAAACCCAAGGTAGGAACACAAGAGGTTTTACGTTTCTTGCTCTTGTTTTTTGAATGTATTTGTTATGTAGTAAATGATTTTTTTGTTTCTTTTTTATATTCTTCCCCTATGGTATAACCCCTGTTTTCACAGTATTTTATTCTAGTGCCCTGCATCGTGCGTATGCATTTTTCTAATTGTGGGAGGGGAAGGTAAATAATGAAATGCTGAAATAAGGGTACAGGATAACCCATGGCATCAAAGAGATGCACAAGACACTATGTTGAAAACTTTACAAATTCAGGGATGGGGGGAGTTGGGGAAGTGGGGGAGGGAAGGGATGGTAGGGGAAAACAAAGGAGGAGGTAAAAATGCTTGATAGGAAATGTACTCATTGCCTTACTCATGTAATTGTGCCCCCTCTGTTCAGTATCTTTACAATAAATATATATATAACTAAAAAATAAAAGACAAAAAAAATAAAAAATAAAAGACATCTCAGAATCATGGTTGGAAGCCAGTTGGAGCAGAAAATTCTCAAGTCCTATATCCAATTGACAAGCCAAATTTTGGAAGAAGAGGTTTGGCTCAAGTGATACACCACTGGTCTAGGTGAAAAAGATTTTGAGACTCTGAATTCAAGTCTCAGTACCTGCACAAAAACAAAACAAAAATCTTCAGAAATAGAGCTATATCAGGAGCCATATAAATACCAATTGACTAACACTTTTCCATATAACTATAGTACATATTGTGATATATATGTATCATCTTGCAATTAAATTTTTAATGGACAATGGTGACAAGGCTGACTCATTGCCTAATCCAGTTACTTTAAACTCATAACCTTGGGTTGGTCCAATGGGGAGAATTGTTAAGTGACATCACAGTGTCTGGTTTACATGAGATTTGCCAGGTATTTTGTAGCAAAAACATCCTGGGTGGGAGAGGGAATCCTGTCCTGCTTCCTTTATGTGAAAAAGAACCTTGGCAGATGCGGAGAAGAACATATTTTCACAAATATGCACTTAACCTAGGAACTGGGAAGCTCTGCCAACCTGGGTTTTGATTAAAGATGCAGCGTTGGTGATATGGTTAAATGTTTCCATCAGCCCCCAGCAAAGGGATTATACCATGATGTGTGAAGGGGGGTGTTTGCAAGACTTGGGATGCAAAAGAAAAGCTAGAACCCTCCTTTGCTTGCTGCATTGTTGAGGAGATTTTGTACAAATTGACACTGGTATTGTATAAACAGTCATTGTAAGTGGGAGTGCTGATGTCTTGTAGTTTCTTTGAACACAGCCTTCTCTCTGTTCCTCCTGCAGCTAGAGAAGTGTTAGTTTAATGAGGCCCTGGTTTAATTTCTTTCCGGCTCATTCATAGAAAATGAGTCCATAGTGTGTACCCTAGCTTGAGGTTGCTTTCCAAGGAACCAAAAGGCTGCTGTTCACAGTAGCAGCTGCCACTCAGCCTGGTCAAGTTCAATGAGTGGGTGGGGCTTAGGCAGTCACAAGGTTTTCTCCCTGAATCTCCTGGAGAGGAAGCCCAAAGGCAACTGTAAAACCTCGATTTTAGAATTCTGTGCAGTCATTTTGAATGACTCTGTTAAATTCCATGAATTATTTCCAAAGAAGAGACAATCAACAATCTCCTTCCAGTCACTAGCAATATAGTATAGTTTTATGATCACCTGTGCTGCAGCCCCAGGGTATGGAAAGTAAGGTTCCTAGTTCTTCAAAAGTCTTAGAATAGAAATTGAGTTTTAGAAAATCTTAACAGAAAATCTTAACAGGGAAAGAAGATTATATTCTAAAACAATGCTAGAAAACGATCTTTGCTTAAGGAAAAAGGGGTATAGAAATTAATCAAGTGAATCAAGCATTTAAACATAAACGGAAAGTTGAGGACGAAAGAAGTAAAAACAGCATGAGATGGAACTTTGCAATGATTTTTAAATATAGTAAAAATGATCGTAGAAAAAATATATAAATTGGAACTTATCATGATGAAAACCTTTGGAGCATTCTTTGGTCCTAGATTAGAGTGCAAAATGAATCCACAGAAAATATTTGCAAAGCATAGAGGTAATGAGGAATTAAACCTAGAAAATATAAAAGGGGCTGGGAAGGTAGTTCAGTGGTAGAGTGCTTGCCTTGCATGCCTGAGGCCCTGGGTTCGATTCCTCAGCACCACATAAACAAAAAGAAAAAAGCCGGAACTGGCGATGTGGCTCAAGTGGTAGAGTGCTAGCCTTGAGCTGAAGAGCTGAGGGACAGCGCCCAGGCTCAGAGTTCAGGCCCAACGACCGGACACCCCACCCCCCACAAAAAAAAAAAGAAAATATAAACAGCTCCTAAGTAAAACTCAAGATCACCAGGAATAACAAAATATTTCCATTGAATACTGTCAAAAACGAGACTGGAGTAGCTATTCTGCAGGAAGGAGAAAGACAAGTAATTGTAGAAAAAAGAGAAAGGGGAAAGAAGGAAAAGGTGAGAAGAAAGAAGGGAAAAAGAAACATCAAGGAAACAAGGAAGGAAGTCAGAATAGAAGGAAAGAAGGAAGGCAAAATAGAAACAAGGAAGGAAGGAAGGAAGGAGGGAAAAAAGAAAGGAAGTAAAGCACAGTGAAGTAATTATAAGTGGAAACCGTTGGACATGGCTGGTGTTAATGACAATGGGACGTGTACTGTGGTAAAAATAGAGGAAAACTCAAGCACACAATTACTTATCTAGCAATTCCACTTTTAAGTACATATAAAAAAGAATCTAAAGCAAGGAATGTAAGCCTACATTTGTTTATCCGTGTGGATATGAATATTCTAAAATGCCCAAATAACACAAACACTCTAATAATCAAAATATTCTGTCTACATAGAATAAAATATTAGTCAGGTTCAAAAGACAGGATACTTTGACACATGTTACAACATAAAGTAACCTTGCTAAGACTATGCTAAGTGAACTATCCAGAGAAAAAAAGACAGATACTGTGTGGTTCTACTTGTGCAGTACCTCGTCTATTACATGTGGCCATAGTGGAATTCAACAGATTGTGTAATGGATCATAGGAAATTGATGGCAAGTGGATGAGGAATGTGAGAAGTTCGATATCAAGATGCCACCATCTAGGAAGGGGCCTCTGGCTGGCTTATGCCAAGGCAGAAGGCATCATATGGCAGAAGAACAGAGGAGGAATCCAGGAAAAAGAAGTGGAGCTGACCTTGCCAGAAGGCTGAACAGGTCGTGCCCTGGGGCAGCAGGAGCCAATCACAGTTCAGGAAGTGGGGAGGACTGCAGGCCAGTGAGTGTCCTGAGACTTTAAAACCTGATCTCAGGGCCAGGTGCTTTGAGGACAGCTGTCTTTGGAGAGTTGCACTTCAGAGGGCTCATGCACGGCTTCAGGTTCAGGTGAGCATCCCAGCCCACAGAGGCATGGTGGGAACAGGAATAGAAGGCCTTTCAGGGGCAAGGGCACAAGCAGATCAACTTCCATTTCTGCCTCAACATGGACACTGGGGGCCAGCTTAGAAGGGTGGTGGGAATGGCATAGAGCTGTAGGGGGAAACCCAAGGGTGGCTACTCCATCAGCCAGAAGATCTCAGGTCGTGCAGTTTGGTCAGACTCGGGATCTGTCCAGGTTGCATAAGGCAGCTGGATGCCTGCAAACTGCACTGTAATGCTCTCCCATTCTTGAACCATCAGGAAATATGCTCTTGTGCCTCATTACCAGGTAACGTGCAGTGGGCAGAAACATGGGCTGATCCAAACCTAAGCATGGAGCCCCATGAGCTACCTGCTCGTGCCCAGGGGCTCGAACTTGGAGTCCTAGCTTGCACTCTGTGCAGTACATGAAGAAGGGCATGAATATGACAACAGGTTGTGACATTGGAAGCGGTTGTGTAAAAGTGAGAATGTAGGGTGTTGTCTTCCTAGTTTGTCTAGGAAGTATATTCCAGAGGGTTTTACCCAAGAAGGGGAGAAGCAGTGCACGACTCATCCATCTTCTACTCTGCATTGGCTAAAGAGATGTCAGTGGACTCTGAGCTTTGGGGGATATCATTGCTCCTAGCTGAGATCAGATATCCCATTGGGTGAGATTTTAGCTGGACTCCTAAAATTTAATCCAACCATTAATCTTGCACACTTTGCTTCACCTCCAAGAGCTCCGGCCAGGACAATGTTCATGCCCATTGCTTGACCACATACCTCTACTTTGATGTTTTAACCCAAGGATATCCGTAAGCCTTAACATAGCTCTGGACAAATATTGTAAAGTCTTATTTTAATATCTAAATTGTCATGGTGGCATTAATTCTTTTCTAGCTAAGACTACGCAGACTTCTGACATGCATGAGTCACTGGAAATCCCGGCTTCATTTCCCTTTCTAGGCTTTCCAATATGGATCCTTCTCTGTTGCTGGCCATCCTTTGCTTGGGAATGGTCGCAGCTGCTCCAGTATTGGATCCCAGTTTGGATGCACAGTGGACAAAGTGGAAGACAGAATACGGCAAAAGCTACCATTCGGTGGGTA